TCAAGCCAATATAATTCATTTAGCATCTGAACTATATTAGAAGATTGTAACTAAAAATATAGAAGGTTATAAACTATTAATAACAAATCAAATATATTACTAGTAAATAAAATATGTAATAATGATGTATAAATAAGCAGATGATCAAATTCAATCAGCTAAGCTATTATTAAAAGAAAAAAAATATAAAATTTTTTTAGATTTTAATAATCCAATATTAACATTTAACTTTATTATGTCTTTTACCAATATTTTACCAAATACAGTATTTAGAATAATGGTTGTAAATGCAACTTTCAATACAAATTAATTAAAATATAAACTTTATTTAATTATAGGTATTATTAATAGTACAAGATTCTCTATTAATTATTTATATATTGCAAATAACCAAAATTGAGATATTTGTATTATTATAATAAGTTAGTTTAAAAAAATTCATAAATTAAATATTAATATTAAAATCTTACTTATGAATAAAGATTTTGTACAGATTTCTAGTATACAAAATATTTAGAAAAATATAAATATTTAATTATGTAAATAATATGTTTTGTAGACCATTAAACAAAAGCTTACATCTATAACAAAATATCAACTATTTATTATAATTAAAATGCTGCATATAATGAGTGTCTAGTTATTGATGCAACATAACAAGAAAATACTTTGTAGCAGCATACAACTTAATGTAATAAGTTTTTTTTAAAGATATCATTAAGAAAAAATATTTGAATATATAGAACTTTATTTTCATTATTATATATTAATATTAACTGCAAAGAAGAGTTTGTTAATTTATCTAAAGAAATTTGGCTTTATGCAATTTATAAGATTTTTAGCTATTATTATAAAAAAAATCTGTTATATATATAAGTATATTTCTAATATGAATGGTATCAATAAAAACAATAAAACCTTTGGGCATTATCTTTATCTTCAGAAGTTTTTGTAATTTAGACAATGATGTTAATAGAATCTCATTGATATATATTAAAATAAGATTATTTATATAAATTTAATCAGCTATGTATAGATCTTGTTTGCCATATTCTTATTAAAAAATTACTGCCAGTTTAGTTGTATTGATTTTAATTACTTTTATATAAACAAATATTATCATTATGATATAAGGAATTCAAAACTGAGTGGAATAAATTAACTATACATAATATTAAAAATACTTAACTAATCATCAAAATTGAATATACTATTGTTTTTATTTTTTAAGAAATAGATTTTTATTATACAAACACTTTGTTAATCCTTTTGAAAAAATGAATATATCATTTTTTCAAAAGATTTGTTATATTATTTTTTTTTTTTAAAAAAAATTTCAAATTTAATTTTATTTTAATTTAGGTGTAATGAAATTTTTAGTATTCTTTTATTTCAAAAGCTAAGAAAACATTATGAGAAAATATTTAACCAATTCTAATTAATCATGTATAAGATAATTTAATAATTAAACTTATGAATTCAGAAAATGAAAATATATATAATAAAGAATCAAGTACCAAAAATAATGAATCTGAATCTGAAATTTTAAGAAACTCTTCATGAGGTATTAAGATTTTTTTTATTATAATTATATTTTCATGTTTATATAAATATATTTTATGTTTTAGGCATTTGATTGTCTTGAAAAATTTAATAATTTTTCTAAACAAAAAAAATGACTTTGAAGCATTGAATTGAGCTTTAAACCTAACCAAAAAATGGTGAATGACATTAAAGAGTTTGAACAAGCAAAGAGCTTCCAAAAACTTGGAACGGTCATAACAAAAACACATTTTACTGGTAACATTTAAAGTTTATACATGTATTAAAAAAAATTTGAATTAAATGTAAATGCATTTAAATATTTGAATTGAATGTATTTGACTTAGAATTTGCAGTGGTAATTAAGTAAATTCTAATAAATAAATTTAATAATAATAATAAACTTCGACTATATCGTGATTCTGTTATTATCATGCTTAGATCGAAATTTAATAACCGACTACGTACATGATTTTGGTGGTGATACTAGGTGGGTTCATTCATCGCCCAATCGGAGCTCAAAATCTAAAATCTTTTTCGTCTCAACAGAAAAAAAAAGATTCACTGCAAAATTTTGGGCTAACCTAAACCCAGTTTCTATCTGTTTAATATTTCACAGCAGTTAATACATGTTGACAAGAGTCAACGGATCGAAAAGAAAGGGAAGAAATGGTCAGGATTACACGCCACGTACTACAACCACTCACTCAAATCACGGGGTAGAAGGAATGGGTCGGGATCAAAGAACGAATCAGTCAGTTAATTGCATGAATCACCTCGCAGCCAGAGACACTCATAATAGAAATGTCACCTATCACAATCGATATATAATACCCGAAAGCAAAAAAAATTCTTCGACACGTTTCCCACTTCGACATATTAGTCTTCGGCAACCAAATTTCTCGACCCAATCTCTACCACCACACACTGTAGTCTCCTGATTCTGCAATTTTCCTATTTAACAGCTGACCTGCTTCGAGCAGGTGGGAAACCACCGGCTGATGCTGCTTCTCGTTCATTCTACTTTTCGCTTGTTCTATTGTTACGATGATACCTGATGCAATCTCACTTGCTATTTTCTGGAGCATATCATCGTTTCATTTCGATTTACTTAGCCAAATTTACGCATAATGTCATAATGTATTCTACGGACTTTATGTCTTTTAATTGAATTTATTTTCGGCACCTTTGTCTAGCGACATTCATCCAACTACATAACCAGCCGTACCGATGCTTTTCGAGAGTGATCATATTTGCTTTATAATAAAATTAAATTTGATATTTGTAATAAAAATTATTTGGGAGGATATGTGTACGTTATTGGATAGATGACAAAAAATTTCCTGTGATTTGTCGTAAGTATGTTCAACAATGATGTTGTCCGATAGTTAATATGACCATGTGAAGTTTTTTCTGTGATATTTTGCAAACTTGATTACATAATTTCAAGCAAAAAATATCATGCAAAAAAATTCACATGATCATATGAAATATCGGATAAAGTACTTTCTTAAACCAAGAATAGAATATATAGTATTCATAATCATATGTTAATCGTGTTTTTGTGAGTTAAGTACGACTGTGAAATTAAAATTTGATCATAACATTTGAATACAAACTATACTAACACAAAAAAACTTTTCGCAGGAACTTTTGCAATGATAAAGCAACCTTCTAAAATCAAACCTAGTCCTGATTTAACAAGATTAGACATAAGTATAATATAATACCGACAGCTTATATAATAATTTCGATAGTCAAAAATAATATCCGGTCTAAATAAAATCAACAACCATAAAAAAAAATAGGCACCCAATGTTTTTAAGTAACATGGTGAAAATATCAATAAGTTCACTAATTTAGATATCTATATATAGCAGAATGCAAAATCTCCGGTGGTAAATCTCCGGTGGTACATTTTTTTATTTATTTTGTAAATTGTTTTTAATGATCAAACTTTTTATTGATAAGAGGAGAAATTGAACAACTAAATTTTTAATGACTTTAACGAATAAGGATAAATTAAATTTAATAAGAATTTTTGTTACATGGACAACATATTTTTTCTATTTATGTAAAACAGTCACTTTTAACGTTAAGGTTGACAATCCTGTTTCCCATTTAAAAACTCAATGTACTGTAGGGTTGAATGAAGTTTAATGGAAAGTATCGAAATATATAATTAAGTGCGTAGTATCAGGCGTAAGTAGTATGAATAGCATGAATAGCATGAATATAGAATATCATATACCTTTTATAGGAAATGTGCTTGTGTTTGCCCGTTTTTTCCCGCCCTTTTGAATGTAAATAAAATAATAAATGCAATAAATGCGTCAAATTTTGTCTATTGATACAGATATTTTTATTTTAAGTTTATCTTAAAATAAACAAACAACCCTTTTTAATTCGGATGATAAAATACAAATAGATCTTTTACTGTCATGGACTTTTTTCGTAATAATTTTCTGAATCATTTAATTTATTACTTGATACTTATAATGACTAAAGAGAAAATAAACAGTGCTTGACTTTTAGTGTAAATGGCTCCAAAAAAAGCATTATGAAAAGTTGAATTATTTAAGAACACTGATTCCATAATATTATGAATATTTTATATTTTCCAGCTCATAATACGTATTACGAACATCAAAACCTATGATACCTGTCACAAAATGATATATCAAGGATCGCATTTGTAAATTAAAGTACAAATTATTTTTGTAAACCCTATGAATTCTATGTATTACCATTGTTTAAACAATAGAATTACTATTTGTTGCACTAATTTGCCAAGAAGTTTAATAACGCACAAATATTATGTGTACCGTAAAATCCAAACGAACCACTAACGCGTTTAATTTATGATAAGGATCAGCGTTAAAGATAGGAATTTTTTTATTAAAATGAGAAAGACGATTTCATAAGGAAAATTATGAGCTACAAGCGATTGTTTTCGCTTTTACATTACACCTGATCTTATGATTCTATTTGTTAATCAGATGAGCGCGCAACAAGGTACAGTGTCGTGCAAGTATCTAGTGCCATTGACGCGACAATGTTATAAAGATAACAAGTATCAATTTTAGATATATTAGTATTAGAAAAAGCCTATTCGAATATTGATAAAGATCGTGAACATGTACACTAAAAGCAAAATTACTACCAATTTTATCAAAATATTTTACTTTAACGATCATTAAAATGATTTGTGTACAATATCATAAATATTTATTAAACATCGCGACGTTATTCAAATTGAAATTTTTATTAAGTTGAAAAGCAATTTCACTGGTATATAAGCTTCAATCTTCTATCGAAGGAAGTCAAAAAAAATGCTAACTGATCTGTACAAAAATCCACAGAAACCTGAACTACACGTGGTTTTGGTTCTTCGGCGTGTTTTTATTGTTCTAATAATCCTTGTATTATTGTTTGTTACTATAGTGTTGTTAATGAAAATGGCTAATGAACAAATTACTATTAGTAGCACTTATACGAAAATTGATAACTTAACTCTACCAAGTAAATTTTTTTGTTTATCTTATATAAGACAACGCAAAGTTTATTTTTCGATTTGCATAATCAGACCATCCCATCTTTCTAATTATTTTTAAAAAATATATATAGTTTAAAAAAATATAAATACATATTTAATGCTAGTTGTGTCAAACGCTCTAGTTTTTGCATTAATTTTTTTCCGTTATTTTTATCAGAGTCACCTATGTTATCCAATAGGATCGACAAAAAAAAGTCGACCGATCCAAATTCAGATTCCATGTAATAATGCAAAACAAAAAATTAACTTTGTATGGCATACACATTAAATGACTATATATATTGTATAAACATTATGTGTTCTAATGGTGTCAAATACGAATCAATGCAGATATTTACTTTTTAGATGACGTGCCATTTAATATTACCTGTAGTAAAGCCTTAAACAGCGGGTCAGGTACGAAAGTTTCCCATTGATAGTGTCATTGCACGCAATATCATATAGTTATTTATCTGAATTGAAATACAAAAAAGTATTACCATGCAAAGAACATATCAATGCAACAATGATTTTTGACAATTCGTCGCGTCCTTATTTTGGAGCGTTTTGGAATTCTATAAATAAGAAACAATTAAGTTTATCTGAATCTGTTGATGGAATAGGCCATATAAATTTATACATAACGTTTAGTGCATTAACAAGAGGCACACTCCTAATGCAACTATATGATCCAGGTAAATTTTTTTCATAAACGACGCTTTGATTATTTCTTTAATTATATATTGAAAAATTTTTTTTAAAAAAACAGATTATGACATACTTGATCCCAAATTTGATGAAAATGATCTATTTAGCCGTTCACTAAACTATGATAATAATTACTATCTATCACTAGGATTTGTATGTATATGTATGCTTAATAATCTAATTTGAAAATTTATTATTTTCAACTTAATAACATTGTAAGTTTATTTATACAGAATTATGAGTTGACTTTTACAAGAAATGTCCGACATTCAATATCTAATAAAGCAACGAATTATATTGGCATACAGCAAACTTACATTGACAAAAAGTTTATTCGTTCGACAATTCGTAGGAATTTTTTTTATATCAGACTTTACTATGATATATAACCTTATTAAATATTGCTATTTTTATATTATTAATAAATAATCACAACAGAAATGTACCTTTTTAACTACACCCCTACGCCTAATGCTATTCAAGTTGAAATTTCTTCAGGACCTTTTCAGATGGAAGAACAGGTAGAACAAAGGTAAAATATTTTAAGCAGTACATTTGATAATAATTCATTTGATAATAATAATTGATTACAAATTTTTATACAATTTACAAATAATAATACATATCATAGACATAATAGTGTAAGTATTACCTTTTTTAAAAAAGTTTGTCGCGTAAAGATATTAAAGATTGAAATAATATATTAGGTTTTAAGCATTCTTGCAAATATTTTGGCTTATTACGGATTTGCTTCAGCTCTTTATATAGTATTATTTGGTAAGCTTTGATAAACATTTATTTATATGAATTATTTATTTCACGAGTATATAAAAATGTCGGCATCATTCTTTATAATCATATTTCTTGGAATCATAAAATAATATGTATTTATAAAATTTGAATAATGATGGCACTACTAAATTTTTAAAATTGTGCTCACTAAAGACATGATAATAAGGGAATCTATAAAGAAATATTACTACATTTAACTGTTATTCTTCTGTATCCTAAAAAGTTTAATTCTGTACGATACTTAGCATAGTACGTGAAAAAAAAATTGTTATAAATGGATAAAAAATTCTAGATTTTAGAAAAATGTAACCTATTGGTAATTAACGATCAAAAAATTTTATAGGAGTTGAAAAAATCAGTCCATGGGGGATTGTACATAAAGGATTCTGCTGCTTCTTCAGAAATATTAAAAAGAAGACTGAAGTGGAAATTAAAAAGAAAATCTCTGATGATACTGATGATAAAACCTATGAAGTAAAATCTGAGAAGGAAGATCCGAAAATGATTAGTTATCTCGAGAAGTGTGTTATTGATTTTTCCTTAGCAGATTGATTACACACATGCAATATGAAATATTATACTTTTATATACATATATTATTATTATTATTATTATTATTTTATAATATGTATTTCATATTGTTATGGTGGATAGTTTTTCTTATTGTCTGGAGAGTATCGGAGGACTCATTTTTTTCTGTAAAGGTGATACGTATGCAAGGTTGTTTGTCCGGCCTCATCACATGAAGTTCGTCCAATAAAATCGTAACATATATAACTTATATACAGTATAATTTAATACTCGTTCTGGACATACAATACTATGCATTTACCTAGCATTAATTTTTTTATAGTGAAATCGGGCGTTACGGCGAGTCAGTCGCTCCACAATCCAAAACTTCGTGTTACCTACGGGTGGCTTAGTCGAAAAGAGGCGTTTAGATTTGGTCGGTGGTTTGGGTCCGTAGGTATTTCTTCGTTACTTGTCTTACGTTTTCCTTCTCTTGAACTTACTAACTCTATTCCTCAATTACCTCACTACGTCGGGTAATTGGATGACACGTATAACTGTCGCATCTGAAGTAGCGATTTATCTAAAGTAGCCACTTTATATATCTAAAGTAGCACCCTGGCTAAAATTAAAATCTAATGCATGCATGAAGATCTAATTTCAGGGGCTTAATTTTAGCCAGGCGCTACTTCAGATGCGACATATATAAATATATAAATTGCTTAATTTTGATATAATTGACTGCCATACGGCACTGTTCTATAGTAATATTAGCGATTAATCAAAAAAATAGATGATAAATCAAATCAAATTTTTTTTGTTTATGTATGTAAATAGAAAAAATCTTACATGTTAGTGATAAAGCTACTCACTTTTTAATTAAACACAAAACTAGTTTTGAATTTAGCGATAAAAATCTTTACAACCAAAATTGATTTCAATATAACCCTTAGCCTCTTATTAAACAAAGATATTTAGGAAAATTACTATTTGTACCCACTCCTATAAAAAATTATTTAACCAAATATTACATAATATAATTGTAATGCAAGACAATATATATTCTGCGCGACAATAATATTATAACTAAGAACATGAAATTAACTTCTTATATTATTATAAATAATAAAAATTAGTTATTTACATAGAAGAGGGTGCGAATAGCATACCCCTTTTTATTGTAATATTTTTAATATTTTTTTTTTATCTCTATTTATTCTTATACCATTTATTGAAAACACAAAATTAGATTTATATATCCGTTTTAAACTATGTTATGCGATATAAAGTACCATAATGTTTTTAAATCCGGATTTAGATTTATACTAAGATAAAAAATAAATCTGCTAACCCTACAAAGAAGTCAAATTATATCGATGTTATTTAACTTATTTCAGTAAAAAGTAATTTCCTAGTTTTTTGTTATCGTGTTTTTGTACCCCAAATTGAATACTCTCGATCCGGTTGCCTTTAATTAGAACAGTTTGCTCAACATTGAAATTCCTTAGCTGAATATTCGTATAGTTTCATATATATAAGCCACAAAAATTACAAAAATTAGGGTGCGTTTTAGTTATTTTTTAGGATTAGTGCCAAATTTAGGAATAGAACTTAAATAAATAAGCATAATAAATTGGTTTTAGGAAACCCTCAAATTTCATTTCAACCTGATTTCATTTTAATTCGTGACAATTAATAATACTACTAACCTTTAAGCTTATTAACTCTTTAACTGGATAACACAGGACAACCGGATTCCGAATCGGGAAATTTTAACCTTGGATACAATAAATATACCGGGTGTTTGATAAGTCCCTAAACAAACAGGGCTTTTTTTTAATCACTAAATAAATTACTATACTATATAAAAAGTACAATGATTAGTAATCGTTATATGAGTGTCGCTAAAAGAAAACCAGCACATCTAAAAATAGAATTATTATATAAAATATAATAAATCCATTTTAAAATGTGCTGGTTTTCTTTTAGCGACACCCATATAATAAAAACTAATACTAGCGGAAATATAAAAAAGATCCTGTTTAGGGACTTATCAATGTTAATGACCTTATGTTGTGCGATTTATCTCTGATAAGGCTTTATCTTATGATATACAGTATGTTAAAAGTGAGAAATTTATTTATTTATTTATTCATTCCATTTCGCGTGATTCAAGCCTTCTATTTATATATTATATGATAATATTTTATACATAAAATTCTCAATATACTTCTAATCTTCGCGCGTTTGTTTATACACAATGACTAATGATCCAAATGACCTGATCGAAAGTCCAGGTCATTTACCATCTTTATTACGGACACATGATACTTTACTCTGAATTTGTAGTTTACACGACACACCGATGCAAGAAAATTCATGATAATGTTTATTTTAACGCCATATACAGAATGCCTTTTTGCAAAAATAAAGAAAGAAAAAAGGATATCTATTTTTAAGAATATAACTTTGTACAGCCTAAAAAATAAAAAATATATAACGGAAGAACGAAGAAAACTCCGAACAACTAAATATAAATATCTTCTCGTTCTTTCTTTCAATTTACCTACATCATACTCTATTAACACTTGAGTTTGACTTTTCTATTAACACCATCTCATTTGTACTTAAAATTTTGCAAAAATGTTTTTAAAAGTTTACATCATTTTTGCGATTATCGTCCTGGCTTTGGTCTTATCAACTTCTTCTGCTCCTGTTGACGACAAAGGTGGTTTTGTCGAAATGAAATCGCTCAATTCAACAAAAATCAAACGTGACGCCAATCCAAGTTCCGAATCGCCTGATGGTGCTTTTTACAATATGGCTGATCTTAAACAAGAAAGAAGCGATTTTAATCAAACTATTGCTGAGCGTGATGCTGAAAAGCAATATCTCGCGAAGCGTGCTCTGTTTTATAGCGGAGGCTCATACGATATCTATAGCTGTTGTAATTATTATTGCTCTTATTACTATTACTGCGCTTATTGCAATTATGCGTACCCATCTTCTTATTGTATTTGCTTCAATAATTAATGGCATTTATACCATATTAAAAACATCAAATTATATTTTGGTGCTTCATTTCAAAAATAATGCCAATTATGAGTTTTTTTTTTTTTTTGAGATTATTTTCTTTTTGTTCAAATGTTCTTTATTATTTTAAATGAAATGTTATAATAAAGTTAAATTTATTTTTTTTTAAATATAAGTTAATATCGCTGCTTTAAAATAAAAAAAATCCTTTAATGAATCGTAAAACATCTATGAGTGCGCACAATGGAAAACCTGTCATCAGACATTCGTGCACAGATAGCCGTCTATGTCTATCATCATTATAGATTTTCTGCCGACGGCTAACTGTACACGAAATATAATTGAATATCCGATGACAGGTTTCCCATTAACTGTATAAAAATTGACTAATTTAATAATAAATTGATTAGAGTCTCTAGCGCTAAAATGAATGATACATAATATTGTATTCAGATTAAATAAACTGTAAAGGTTGGAACCAATTATCGCAATCGGATTTATACCCGTTATACAGTTATATCTCATCTAAATTTTATATAAGAAAATTAAAATATATATAATTTAGGCCAGATTGCATAATGCCTGGCGGAATTAAGAAATAGGAACACAACTGTTTCGAAAAACCCTGAAAGGAAAAAAAGAAGAGAAGGGTCGGGCAAAAATTTGAGGTAAATATTTAATATTTTCCGAAGGGAAAATATAAAATCCAAAGGAATCATATCATAATATTTTTTTGCATGAAATTACGTAATCAGTTTTGCAAAACATCACAGAAAAAACTTCACATGGTCATATTAACTAT